TACAAATATGTCATGAAACTTCTCATTTGGACATCATGGCATAGATAATCACACACATACACACCTGCTGTTAAGGAAGCTTGATGGAGTAATGGATTAAGCCTTGAGCTGATATCCACCAGGTCAGTGGTTTGAACCCACCAGCTGCTGCTCTGGGGGGGAGAATGATAAATCTACCTATTCCTGTAAAGATTTACAGGCCCAGAAACCTTTTGGGACAGTTCTGTGTCAGAATTGACTCAGCAGCAGTGTTGTTGTTTTCGTCTCTACTTGAAGTACCTCTCTAACTCAGCAGATGGTTCAAAAGGCAACTAAAGAAGACTGGAAGATGGTTTAAAAAAAGGCAAGCTGATTTGAAACTTCACATTTTGAGGCACAGCAGAGTACAGGGCATCTTAATTACTACCACCTAGCAAAAGGCCATCAACACTGGTGTTTTCTCACTATTTCTCTAGCAACAGGAAGCAGCCCAGACAGGCTCATTCCTCCTTGGGATCAAACAGGTGCCCCTCTGGTAGCATAATTGTTGTTGTTAAGTCAGTACTGACTCATAGCTACCCTGTATAGGGTTTCTGAGGAGCTTGAACTTCCAACCTTGCAGTTCAAAGCGACCTTATAGTCCAGCACATTAACCCACAGTGCCACACCAGAACTCCTCTGGTAGCATTAGAGAAGCAGAAACTTCTGACACCCTACATGTCTATCAGACTGTCACACTGTGGTGGCTTCCATATTGCTGTGATGCAGGAAGCTATGCCATGAGGGTTTCACATGAAACGGAATACATGAAGAATGATATCCTAAGCAGTAGTGAGCGCCACACCAGCACTCCCTTAGATGCAACGATAGTGAGACTACCCCTGGTGTTCTTGGGACATATTATTAGGAAGGACCAGTCCCTGGTAAAGAACATAATGCTTGGTAAAGCACGGGGTCAGTGAAAAAGAGGAACACCCTCAACAAGATGGACTGACACAGTGGCTACAACAATCGGCTGAAATGTAAGAATAACAGAATGTTGTGGGGCCAGGCAGTGTTTCATCCTGTTGTCCATGGGGTTGCTATACATTAGAGCTGACTCAAGGATGCCTAAGAACCACAACCAGTGGTCCAATACAAAGTTTTTGCCCTCACAACAACCCGGTTGAGGAATCCTATCACATTCCTTCCCCATTGAGAGACACCTGGTGACTTGGCCATGGGAAACATATTCTGTTCCCTCAGACAGCAATAGCAGGAACCACCGAAAACACAAGAAGCACCAGATAATGCAAGACCAAAGTAACTGCAACAGCACTAAAAATTATACTACAGGGATTACAACCACAAAAGTAAACTGAAACCCATAGACTAAGCCTAAATAAAATCTTGCTGTTATTGTCAAGTGCCGTCAAGTCTAAAATTGAATACGTAACTAGAATGTCAGAATCTCTTTGAATAACAGTCAAAATGTCCAGGATATATTAAAAGTCATGTGACAGATATATATAAAGTAGAGAGAAAGAGAAGGCAATTGAAGGCTCTTAACAACATCATGTGTATATATGGTGGGTTATTGTGCTGGACTTAAGATCAGTTTGAACCAAGAGGTTGGCAGTTCAAGCTCACCAGCTGATAGTTGGAAATCCTATACAGTGTTATCTTACAAGGGGTTTAAAGTGCTGTAGTTGTTGTTATGCTTTAAAATTAATAAGTGTTCATGAAAATAATAGAAAATCTTGACATACAAGTTATTTAAAAATGAAAGTTATAGAACTGAAAAACACAATGAAAGAAGAAAACAAAACCACATTGCACGGACTCAATAGAATAAGAACGACAGAGAATAGGACTTTGAACTTGAGGACAAAACAAAATAATTAATCTAATCTGAATAACAGAAAATAAATTGAAATACAAAATGAACAGGGACTTAGGGAATTATGCAAAAATAGCAACAATAACAATAAAACAAAACCCAAAAATCTAACCTTCATATTATTATAGTTCCCAAAGGAGAGGAAAGAGAGTGGCTGAAAATGTCCTAAATGTGGTGAAAGACAGAAGCTTACATAAGAAGTTGAGTGAACTCCAAGTAGAATAAAACAGTAATTTATACCAAGATGTACTATAATTAAAATATTTCAAATTGAAGGCAAAGAAAAATATCCTAGATCTCATCTTCTTGATGGATGTGTTTCCTTAGAAGGATTCCTATGTTGAAAGAAGTCATTCTTTGGACTAATTGATAAAATTCATTTCCTTTTTCAAGCACCCACTTTACTATCTCTGTTTCTAATTTCCAAGTATACACATGACAAGTCATAGAAATAGTTTAGCAATGATCATCTATTATCATCACATGTATGTTTCCCATGCTGTTGTTAAGTGCTGTGGTGTTGATTCCGACTCATAGCGACCCTGTATAGGGTTTCTGAGACTTTAAATCTTCATGGGAGCAGAAAGCCTCATCTTTCTCCCATGGAGAGGCTAGTGGGCTCAATCCACAGACCTTGTGGTTCACAGTCCAGTGCTTCATCTTTATCTTTAAAAATAATTCAAATTGCATTATATTAGTGGACTATAAAGAAATATTGTTAAAGGAGCAAAAATTAATATAGTTGATTTCTATTTATAGCGACCCTGTATAGGATTTCCAAGGAGTGGCTGGTGGGTTTGAACCACCAATCTTCAGGTTAACAGTCCAGTGCTTATCCTACAGTGCCACACCAGGACTCCAATATAGTACTATACCATACATTTACAAAGAAAACTGAGATATATCTAGTAAAATCATAATTATGATTTTGATAAGAGGAATTATTTTTATAATTTTGTCAATAGGTAGGAGGTTCTGGTAAGCTTGTTAATTTCCTAAAAATACAAGATAATGAAATCCCAGTATTCAGTTTTGAATTTTGAGCCTTAATAGATAAGCTTTAGCATGAAGCTTATGATTTAATTTTTTCTTTTTAAATACAAAGCCGTGAGCTTGATTTATAAAATAATAATAATAATAATAAAACAAAAGCATGGTTAATAGGTTGTGTTTATTATTTCTATTGTATCTAAAAGTAAAATATATTGAAAGACTTTGTTAAAAATAATTCTTTACACAGTTTTTGGAAGTTTAGTGGCAAACACAGTTTGTAAGTAAAAGTTAAAATTTTCAAACGAAAATCAGTTTGTGGTCTTTATGAAATTTACAGAAGCAAGTTAGGATTCAGTTTAAGTATCTGAAGCAGTTTCCACATTAAAGCATTCTCAAGAAATAGAAAATCAGGAGTTTAGTGGAGGTACCAGCTGCTGCCAGGCCACCCAGTTAACACGGATTCCTCACTGGTTCCCATCACGTAGATGGGGAACAGGAGGAACAAATGAAGGAACACTTATAGAAACAAACATGACCCTGAAATTATATTTGCTTAGGGCATCCCCCAAAGGCATCTCGGTCAGGTTATTAAATTTTTGAGGAGCAGAAAACGTTACAATTATAATAGTTAAGGCTTAAGATCATGCATTCATACTAAAATACAATTATTAATACTTGAAGGATATTAAATGTGATACAACATATTTAAAGCCAATACTATACCTATTATCTTATTAAATCCCTTAGGATTTCGTAGGCACATTGAAATCAATTTTTGTATAAAGGGGATAAACACCAAAATCTCAAACTGAATGGGTATAAGTGACTCTATTTTTATAAAGAGAGTAAGTAGAACATCTACTTGTAGCTGTCTTATTAGAAAATGTCCACAGTGAAACTAATGTTTAGGGGTATAAAGTTTTTTAAACATAAAACATTTTCTAGTGTCATTATGTGTATGGTGAGATAAAGCATTAACAATAGCAACAACTAAAACTTAGAAAGATAATTGAGTGAGTAAAAACTAATTTGCATATACTAATGTTATAAATCAATAACAACAATAACACACTTAGTTTTTTACCTCTTAATTCCCAGTCCTCACAATCTGAGAATCATTTTCTTTCTCTAAGTCATAAAAAATCATCAAGTACAGTGAACAGTACTTAAAAGTGGACAGTTTCCTAATTAAAGACCAAGACACATAGAAAGGTTAGAGACACAACTGTAGCCCTCAACACTCCTAATTCATATTATCCCATGTATCTGCTTGATCTTACTATTCAATGTTACATCTTGAATAAATGGTTAAAACACTGTTTTATGATACGATAAAGCTTACATCTATTACCATTTTCTCTATCACAACATTTTAGTAAATGTATGCTTTCAAAAAATATATAAATGAGAAAAAAGAGTGTAGGTTACAAGTGTAGTTCCTGTATACTTCTTGTACTATAATCCATCCCACTGCAGAGCTAGAGCTTAAGTAGAACTAGACAAAGACATGAGAATTGAGGAACCATAGAAGAATGAAACACTGTTAATTCTTATGATCAAAAAGAATAAACATTTAAACAAGAACAAGAAAAAAAATGTCTCCAAGCAGACTTAACTAACTGTGATTTTAATCAGCCTGAGAGTCTGCAGTTGAACTGAAAGGCAAGTTTTAAGGAATTTCTTACAAAAATTCATATTTTTCTAGGCAAGTTTATGATTTAATAATTCATAGCATCTCGGTATTTTTAAAACACCATTCCACATTAAGAACTTTTTTGTAACTAAATCCTATTAGTGGTGATTAGTGGCCATCAAGTTAAAATAGACGTAAAATATACAAGACCCTTTTGCTGCTAATTCACTCTCCAGACGAAGCAAGAGTCATCCAAGTCATATGGAGAAAATGAACACTGGACTGCCAAACGGCAGCTTTAAACTCTTTAATTCACTGCAGCAATATTATGGGAGCTGTCTTTGTATCATAGATTTAGTAGACCAGATATATGTGTATAAATATAATGTGAATTTCACAATCATGCTTAACTTGATTTGATCTTTGCTTTCATTTCTCTGATCTTTGCTTTTATTTATGAATTAAATTTTCAACATTTTGTGATATATGAAGAAGGTGAAGGGGTGTTATGTGGGATTAGATTTGGCCTTGAATAACTGACTTTTCCTCAGCTTTATCTTTAACTTCCTCCTCCTCATCTATCATATGGATATCTGATGTATTTTTGTCATTTTGCCTCAAACGGTAACTTTTATAAGCACGTTGAATGATGGTGGCTGAGACTGCCTCTTGTTTTCGTTTTAGGGTAGTTGTAATTGGCTCATATGCAATCTTAAAAGGGTTGGCTAACATAAACCCAGTTTCTATCTCTGAAAGGACTTTCTCCATCCTTTCATCTTTACCCAAAACTCGTTTTGTAAGAGCAAGTAAGATATCAAGACAATGAATTCTGTCTCCAACAGCCATGGGAAGATCCATGGCAATGATCTGACCCTTGTTTGGTTTTGCCAGGAGAAGAGGAGGATCAAGAGCAGCTGCAAAGTCTGAAAGCTGGCTAGAATCTATGTATTGGGTTCTATCAGGATCAAAACTCTTCCATACCTGAAAAAACTTCTTAAAATCATCTTCACTCAAAGTCTTGGCTTTTTTTTTGGAAACAGTATGAATGAACTCCATGACAACAACAATGTACATATTTACAATGATCAGCCATGATATGAGAATGTAACTGACAAAATAAATTATCCCAAAGTAGGGATTACCACAGTCTCCTTTAATCTGGGTCCCAGGGTTAATTTTATCAGGATCACAGTCAGACCATTTACTGTTGAAAATTGCACTGAGCATTCCATCCCAACCAGCAAATATGGTAACTTGAAAAATGCAAAGCATACTGCTGCCGAAGGTTTCAAAGTTAGACACATCGTTGATTCCAGCTTCCTTTTTAACGTAGGCAAAATTGTACATTCCAAAGATGGCATAAATAAACATGACCAGGAAGATGAGAAAACTGAGGTTGAGCACTGCTGGGAGGGACAGCATCAAAGGAAGCAGCAGATTATGGAACACTTTCGGGCCTTTCCCAAGACGCAGGATGTGGATGATCCGTGAGAGAAGTATCAGTTGAACAAGGGATGGAGATACAAGAGAGTATCCTACCATCATAGGTAGAAATAGCCCTTGGAGTAGAAAAAGATAAAGCAGTAAATAAAATTATTTAAATTCAGCTGTATTTGTTGTTATTGTTAGGTGCCATCGAGTCTGTACCGACTCATAGTGACTCTGTGCACAACAGAATGAAACACTGCCCAATCCTGGGCCAACCTCACAATTGTTGCCACGCTTGAGCCCATTGATGCTGCCATTTAGAGGAATATAAATTATTGTATATACCATTGTTGTTTCTGTAGATAATAATGATTTGCTTAATCCACCCCATTAAACAATTTGAACCCATTGAAAGTTTGGATTAACCAAATTTTAACTGTGGCAATATTCACGATATCTACCTTAAGAATTGTTGTTAAGTGCCGTCAAGTCAGTTCTGACCCCTGGTAACCCTGTATAGGGTTTCCGAGGTGCAGCTGATGAGCTTGAACCATGACCTTGTAGATTAAACTGATTTTGCAGTCTAGTGCATTAACCCAAAGTATCACACCAATATTACAGATCAAATACTTCTGGAAGCATTGATGGCATGGGTCTATAATGTAAAATAGTAGTCACTGTTTTTTACTGATGGCTCTTGGCTTGAGAAATATAGGTAATTCTAACCTTTATTGAATGTCTTATAGAGATGTAATTCAAGTATGAGAAAACAAATGACAAAATTTCTGTCCTCAAACATTTTATAATCTAGAAAGTAGAGATAGACACTTTACCAAATTACAACTCAAGGCAGAAAGAACTATTTCATGAATATCATTACAAAAATGTTTGACATTTACCGATTTAAAGAATATAATTTAAGGTACTTATTTCATACATAATATTTGGGAAGGAGTTCTGGTATGTCACTGTAGGATAAGCACTGGACTGGTAACTGCAAGGCTGGCAGTTCATATCCATCAGTTGCAACCTGGAAACCCTATACGGGTTGCTGTGAGTTGTAACTGATTCAATGGCACTTAACAGCAACACTTGGACCCTTAGGAGCATTAGATGTGAATTGCATAGAGTTTTGGGGTTTTTTATATGTTTTATTGTGAATCATGTGATAGTTTATACGGGAGAACATTAGCTTTACATTCATCCTATCTTATGTCATTTCATTGCCATGGTTACAATCCCCTCCATGCATCATCAACCAACCAAAGGGCATACTCCACAAGCCTGCCCCTCAGTCGTCAGCACACAGCTGCTCCATCTCTCCACGTCATTGTCTCTACCTCCATCTGTGGCATCACTGTTTCTCTGGGTGAGGTCCTGCATTCTGCCCTTGATGGTCCCAGGGATCTCCGCTCCAGGACTGCAAAGTCACTCACTCCCCTCCTTTTGCTACAAAACGTCCAACTTTACATTCCCAACCCTCACAGTCAGTCTTGATAGCAATCATTCACTATTTTGCCACATGAGTGCTATCCCCATCTCCTTTCATCAGCCCACCCAGACAGGGTAGATACTACTCAGTGGAGATTCTACTCTCCTCTGCACCCTCTGGATCTAGGCTCCCTCTTGAAAGCTTGTAAGATAGTCACTTCTTGCCTTTGTAGCCCCCCCATTTTGGGTAGCCAATGTCCAAGTTGCCCACCCCTGTCTACCCTGTGTATCGAGGGAATGGGAATGAGCCTCACAGTAAAAATGTGTTCCCTCTTTTGAGCTACTGCATGCACAGACATAGGTCAAGTTCACCAAATTGTATCAGATTACTCTTTTTTTCCTCTTCTTTCTTCGTCTAGTTGAGTTCTGATCATCCAGCCATTGAAGCCAGGTCAAGTGGGTATTATCTGCAAGTGTGGGTGTTCTTGTGCATAAGCCCTCTCTTCTTATCAGCTTTTTTTGAGTGCCCTCCCACCTACATCTGTGGAAAGAGAAGATGGAAAAGCTCCATATCATCAGTGA